CCCCCACCCCCTGCTCCTGGGAGGCAGTGTCACGGGGAGGTGGGTGGCGGCGCTCTGTCCCCGCCTGCCTGCACATACCTTCTAGCTCCTTTCCAAGTACCCCCAGCTGACAACTCCTGGTTTAAGTCAAGCACAGACCTTTATGCCTTGCTTGACCAGAGCCTTACTGTGTACATTTAAAGCTATTATATTTACTCTAATGTAAGATGACCTGGAATATAAGACGATCCACCAATAATTAGATTCTATATATGGAAAATGTATACATTTCTTATAATTTTCCAGGTATAGAATCTAACTACTGGAGGTTTGCCTTGAATTTGTCCACCTCCCACTACTACAGCAGGAAACATAAATTGGGAGGGTGATCATGGGGGTTCCCCTGCCCTGCAACTTTTCTTCCCTGCAACCTCTTTCTCCCCACCCTCCCTCCTTATCATCAGACCCTGCTCCCCACCGGGTACATGCAAGTGAGGGGCAAATTTGAAAACAATGACTTTGAAATAAACATACTTGTAGTACACTGAATATAGATAAATTCCTATCCATACCTACAGTCTTAGTTCATCCAGTATTGATGCAGTTTACCTTTTCTGAAACTGTTGCAAGTTCTAGCACAGGTACTCCATAAACATAAGTCTAAGCAGCACTTTTGTACCTATTTATATGTAGTACAAACTATACATGATATTAATCCAAAGCCAAAAGGGTCATGATTTACCATATAGTTCACTGGGCTGAGCCACAGCAGCAGCAACAACATTTAAAGCCATGGTGACTTCATAGCTCAGCTGCGCTTATTATGGGCATTTGTACACGTTTGCGCCTCAGGGCTTTTAAAAGCATACATTTGTATAAATACCAAAATGCGCGTCAGTGCTGATAAAATGGCAGTGGCGCGCTTTTGAAGTAAAACACATTGAAGGTGTTTTAGTTCAAAAGTGCACTGCCGCCATTTTCTGCACGCTGATGTGCATTTCGCCACATACAACTGCAGCACACAATGCAGCGCAATGCATGTCAGCTTATGAGACAAGCAGACTTGATTACTCAAGTCTGTTCTGACATGTTGGAACGCTAGCGTGTTGCAGCGTGAAAAGGTATGTGTATAAATGCCCTTTGTGTGTGTAGTTCAGATACCTGCCCCACAAAGGATCCCTGTGTTAATTAGCCCCCAACTCAGGACTGGAACCAAATGTTCTCATTACAAGTCCTGAGAGCCTCCAAAAATGTATATGCAGATAAAGTGCGGGACAACCTGGTCCGGCTCCATCTCATGGAGGGCAAGGCCACACTACTCATATGTGCTAGGCTGAGAGAGGGGGTGACAGAGGGATTCTGGGTGAACTGTTAGGTGCCCCATTTGGTGACGTTTACCAGACACTTACAGCTAGTGAAGAAACAGGAATCATTGGAAATGGGAAAGAAAGGCACAGCTCAGCTGTGGGAGTGAAAAGGAAGTAAAAATGTTTTCTTTATAGTGCCTCATCATGACTTGAAAGAGTTGGCACTGAGGGGGACTCAGTGCAATGGGCACTAGCATATATCTGATTCAGATGTTCTGTACTAACCTATCTTTGTGGTAGGTTCCCGTCAGTATCTTTGCCCAATATGGGCCAGGTGTTTTATAGTCATACTCAGTATTGGCTGCATTTCATCTACTCTACATTTGGTTTTGATAACTGAGCACATATTACTTTTGGCAGCATTTTAATGAGAGACCATGCTGTAACAGGGGCCAACAATGCACCCTGCCAGGTGGAGGGAATTACACACCCGGGGCAGGACCAGGTGATTAACCCACCACGGCCAGTATATATCCGGCGGCGGGACAGATACTTTTTGCTTTTGGGCACAAGAAGACAGTGAGGGGCAGCTGAGGCCCTAGACGGTGAGGAAGACCAGAAGCCCACTTGTCGACCTTGGAAAGACGCTGAGACCGCGGGACCTGAGACAAGGAGATACAAGGCATCTGTGTACCTCACGACTCCGGCAGCTCTGGTGAGTGTGCGGAGAACCGGGACTTGGCAGACCAGCATGGCGGGGGAACCCCGAGCAGCAATAGGCACCCCGAGACGACGGGCAGGCAGGAGGATGCCACGCTGGTCCAGAACCCAACCCCAGATCTGCAACGTCGCCAAGAGCGGCAACATAGGAAGCAGAGGAGGAACCAAGACCGCTCCTACTACGTGGCAGATGCGAGAGACACGGGGAACGTGCCTTGTTAACAAGATAATCAGGGCTTGGAATGTTCAGCGCTACATTGCAACTGGGAAGTATCCGGTACCGAGTTATCTGACCGGCAGCTCGGATCTGCCTCGCTAATGAAGTAATTAGTAAGGCTATTGTTCTTGAGCTACTTTATTTTGGGAAAATAAACCAACAATGAGCATGTACCATTGGGGTGGCATTTATTGATCCCTGGCCTTGAAAGACCACTGATCTCCCCCATTTTCTTTCAATCCGAGTCGTGGCAAGTGAATACAGCAGGGAGACAAAGCTAGGATCACTCACCTGCTCACACATGCATTTAATGAGGTTTTCTTGTATGCAAATATAACATGAAGAATTCCACCACCCCCTGCTGGCTGGGGGAGAAATCCTCGTCTTATGTTGTAGTAAATACGGTATTAGAGAGGAAATGTGTAGGCATTATTTGATTTGTCTTGCTTTTTCTGAAGAAATGCACATTTAGGGCCTATTAAATCCCACTGAAATCAACGGGAGTCTTTTAATTGACTTTGGAAGAAGCCTGGACTTCAAAATCTTGCTGTAAAAGATTGGTGTCAAAATCTAGTAATGTCAAAGAAAAGCAAATACAAAATTGATACAACTGGGGATAGAATGTAAAGCCACTACATAAACATACAGAGTTATAAAACTGGGACTCTATAATGCAAGTAACTGGCTGATGGAACTACTACTTATAATGGTGTGAGTGTTATTCTGACTTACAATTAGTCAGATTACTTGGAGAATCCAAAAGCAGACGAGGTTTTTTGCTGATATCAATAATATCATCCCAGAGAACTGTGTCCATGTTACATAGTTTGGGATTGTTGCTGATTTTAACTCCTCCACTAAGAATTTCTGCAAAAGAAAAAAAATTAAATGAAGTAAACTTTTTTTCCTTAATGGAAAGAACATAAATACACATTTCTTTTTCTTCATTCATCGGAATACCATGATGATGGAAAAGGGTAATCCATATGCTAGCACACGTGAAGGTGCAAGCCATGCCTTCACATATCCCTAACACCTAGTTAGATTGACGGAAGTGATGAATATATAAGAAATGCACAACTGGGGTCAAAAATACATGCCTGAAATTTGCAAGGCCAAGTACTGCTTTTGGTGCCTTGATTTTCAGATGCCCAACCTCAGGCATCTTTTAGAACTTGTGAAAATCAGGCATCTTAAGTTGGACACTGAAGAAGTCTCTAGTCACTTTGAAAATGTTGGGCAACACTCATTGGGTGCATCTACATGTTCATTAATGTAACACTATTACTGTGCATTAAGTTTACTATGTGTAATAACAGATACTAACTGAATGTTCAGTAACTAGCACTGCTGCATAGTATGCCAGAGCATGGTCTTTTTGTGACACTAATGCTTGTAGACTAATTCTACTGTGCATCAGCACATTGGCACAGCTTTTGCCATGACGAGTTAACGTGCAGTAGAATTAGTCTACTATGTATGCATTTAGTGTCTTGTGTAGATGCACCCATTGTGTTGGAGTTCTATAAGACCAAGGTGGTTGAATTCTTGCATGTAAATGCTGGGTATTTAAGGCAAGGACCTTCCATTACTACCAGGGATACTTAGTGCCTGTAAATTAAGAAGGAAGCCAGGTAAGTTACTTATAATCTTATACAGAGCATCATCTCTGGAACAGCTGAAGGGAAATACTTCTTGATCAGGGAGTTTGCTTCCAACAAGATAAACAGCATTATATATACCACTTCATCTCACCTGACAGCCGTTTCATTGGCAGCTCCCTGAGTCCCTTGGTTTTATTCATTTGATAATTGGATAAAACTGCCAGTGCATAAAAGCCATCATACAGCACATTCCCACGGATGATCTGGAGATTCTCTAATGGAATGTTATCCACAGTGTTGAGCGCTATAAGCACATAACCTGCAACCTCCTGTATCGTCTGAGGAAAGTGAGAAAGAACAGAACAGTTATTCTGTCATGCTGTTTCAGGAAGTAGCATTTGATCTTGATGAGTTAGCTCTTTTTCCCTTGTTTTGTCTTTCAGCTCCCAAGTGGGGGTGGTGGGGGATCAAGATTTAACCTAACCTGGAAAAAAAAAATCATTGGGCACCTGGAGCTTATGTGCTTGGTCAGGAGGCTGAATGACTCCATATGGGCATGAAGGGGAAAATATGAGCCATTTCAGAAGAAATGATAATCTAGGGTGGGGTACATGGTATAGTCTTAGCTTGTGCTCCTACTACATATGCTGTTGCTCAGTCCCAACCTTCTAGCCATACACAAAATCCTCAAGCACATGCTTATCACACTCTGAACCTGCACTAACTTGCATGGCTAGAGGTATTGTTTAAAGTCCAGGCCAGGCTTTAGCTCAGACTAGAAACCCCCCACCTTGAAATGAGGACACAGGCCGGAGCAACTGAATGCTAATAGCTCCTTCACATGATTCCTCCTCCTCAGTGGGACTGAATAAATTCGCCCACAAATTACTAGGAAAGTATCCCAGAGCATTTTAGCATAGAGAATCCCAGTCACAGACTAATGACTGCAGAAATGGTGAGGACATACTAACACAGATAAGTGTTACAGCTGGTATGGAAATGTTTAGATCAGAACTATCCTAATCTGGGCACGGGCCAACCAGGTTAACTGTGTCACACAGACAGAACTAGAATGAAATTATACTATTCACTGATTGAGGTCCAAGGGGTAAGGCTACAACATCTCAGCCCAGTAAAGCCTATCAAAAGTCCAGTAACCCATCTCCAACAGAAACAGTTGCTGCTTTTTTAATACTTCCTCAGAAGTAAGTTGTTATGGAATGACAATTGATGCTAGGGAAAATATTTAGCTCATCCAGTCAAATGGTTGATTTATATCTCTAAGCATGAGGGTTTCCATCTTATCTCAAACTGTTTCTTTTTAAAGAACTTTATTATTTATTAATTATGTGCAGAAAAGCTCAAAGTTGCACAAAATTATGCAGGTGTGGGGGGGCCTATGGGTAGGTGTGTGGGATTTGGAGCCCCAGAAGGGGGGACCCCTGCATACCCTGGCAGGATGTGGAGTACTGTGGGTAAGGAGTGAAGGAAAGCAGCAGGGCTGGGGGGCTGTGGCTTGGGAACAAGGGGCAGGGTGCAGGCATATCACTGCCCCCCCCATTCACACAGTCATATTACCCTCACCGGTGTCCTCTTTTTTGCAACTGGAAATATGGTAACCCTACAGGAACGCAGCGCAGCTGTGTGTAGAGCAACACCCAGCAGCTAAGTCTGTGGAGGGGAAAAGGCAGGGGCTAGAGATCGAGGCCCCCATGGCGAGGGAGGGAGTGGGGCAGGGGCTGGGGTGAATGGAGCCCTGGGGCTGGGTTGGGTCATGCAACAGAGCCATGGGAGGCTCGTTCGGGGGCGGGGGGGAGGCAGGCTGCCTGCTGGGGCTCTGCACCCTGCTACCTTTGCCTCAGGAGCTGCGTGACGCCTTGTCGTGCCTTTTGCTGCTGGGCGGCAGGGGATGAGAGGCTAGTGCGCAGCTCCCAGAGCAAAGGCAGCAGTGTACAGAGCTCCAGCCCGCAGTGGGCAGCTCGCTTCTGCTCCATGCACAAATCCAGGGGGCACATGCCCCCATGCCTTCCCTGCGGATGCGCGCAGCAGCAGGGAGCCTCGCCCACCCCAAGGAGCCTCCCACAGCTCCATCCCATAACCCGCCCCAGCCCTGGGGCCCCATTCACCCCAGCCCCTGGTCCACTCCCTCCCTCACCATGGGGGCCTTGACCTGCCCTCCAATGCCTCTTTCTTTCCACAGACTTACCAGCTGTGCACTGCTCTATACACAGCTGAGCTTTGTTTCTGGCCGCATGTGTGCTGGGGATGCTTGTGTGTATCTGTGTGCCCACACCCTCCTGCAGCAGCCCAGAGCCCATGCCCAGGCTGCCTTGAAGTCCTCTGCACTGCCACTGCTGCCCAGCTGGGTGGCCCAGAGGTGGCAGCGAGGGCGGCGGAGTGGAGCCTAGGTGTGGGCTCCAAACCCCCATGAGTGATTAACACATTAAAAAAAATGAATGCAAGAACCAATTAACACATTATCGGGCACATTAATCGCAATTGACACCCCTATTGTTTATCTGTGATTGAGTATGCGTGTGTACATATCTATGTATGTACATACACAGGGGTGTGTATACACACACACACAAATATGCACACACAATGTGTATACATAAATATACAAAATGTGTGTGCACACGTGTGTATGCATGTGTGCATAAAAGCTATTAGTTCATTATCTCTCTGCACTCAAAAATTCAGTGGAATCTTCTTACAAAATTTGTTACAAAAAGAACTTCAGCACAACAAAAATAGCGCCAAATTTCTGCTGATGGCCCATAGTAACAGTGGTAACTGGACCTTGTTAAAATGAAAATTTACTGCTGTGAAAAATTTCTTACAATGAATGTTTTTTTTCCAGTGCATGTATGTATAATAGTGCCTTAGTGATATGAATACAAAGCCAAAAAACCCCATGGTACTGTCCATCTTGTTAAGATAAGCAGAAATGTAGCACTCATAGGAAAAAGATGATGAGAATGGAGGAAGAAATAATTTCTGGCTGAAAAAAAGGTATCAAGTCAACAGAACTCAGCATCATTCTAATCTTCATAATTATAATCTTTATAAAATCTTTTAAAACCCTTTTTGATATAAAGAAATTTAGGTACAAGGAAATGAATTTCTTGAAGTTCACTCCTGGATTCCACTTGTATTCTAAACTGGCAGCTGGCACCAGAGGAACTGTACCTTCATGGCAGATTATTTCAAAAGCAGGAAGGATGATCTAGTTGCTAAAGCAGCAGACTGTCAGTTAGGAGATGTGAGTTCTGCTCCCAGCCACACTGCCACCTTTCTTTGCTAGCTCAGATAGACAGACTGTACTAGGACAGAGTGCTTTTTTATCCCTGGTATATCTAGTATATAGATATAGCCCTTTTTCTCTTAGATTCAGATGTCACTATGATTGTTCATGGACACAAATGGGAGACAAATGTAGCACAAGACAGTTGTTCATGTGCTACTGCTAAGGACTACCTGAAAAATCACTCACAAATCATACTAGATGGAGAATGCAATTGCTTGCTTACTCAATGCAGGCAAATAGCACTTAAGGGAATTTTTACATGTGCTTCAGGAGGTACGGGGGTGTTTTAATTAGTGAGTCATGCTAATTAAAAGTGCCTGAGCATCACATGTATCAGTATCCCCATGCTGAAAAATGGTGGTGGGGCACTTTGAACTAAGACTCAAACGAGCTTTAGTTCATAGTGCCACACCACCATTTTTCAGCCTGGGGGACGCTGATAAACATGACGCTAGAGTCTGCTGGAGTGCATTAATTTCTGTGCTCCATCAGACTCGATTAATTGATTTCCAGCGCATCGGAGCAGGCTCCTAGCATATGTATAGGAGCTTTAAGTGCTGATGGATAAAAGAAATATGAAGCTTTACATGTCTCGGTTTCTCGCCCCGTATATCAGAAAGTCAATAAATGAGCTGGAATTCTCGAGGCCTACACTTGAAAATCTGAATGCAGGCTACCCACAGTGAAGTTCCATTAATTTTTCAATTTACTTCATCCATGGATTTGCTGAAGCTCAAGGTTGCTACAATTTAGGACACAATGCAGAGCTGTACCTTCCCTCATGAGAGTATAGAGGCAAGG